TAAAGTGAGGAAACTGACACAATCATCTAAATAACTCAGGCTTTAAATGTCTTTTTCTACCAAAAGACAGATTTTGACTAGAGTCATCCAAGAGTATCTCAAATCTGCAGAACAAACATGGGTGGTGATTCTTATAAAGTACACTTCCAACTCCCATCTTCCGTCTCAAAGTTACTTTCTTTTCAACATCTATAAATACCAATGTCACGTTTACTCAGCAACACTATAAAAACAAACAAACAAACAAACAACCTACTCGCCACTATAGATGTGGTCAGATAATTGTGTACTAGGGTCATAAAGAAAACTGAAAAAACAGTCTTCATAATTCAAGTGCAGAGTTAAAGAAATAACTATCTGTAAATGAACCACAATCATCAAGGTGCTCTAGCTGAAGAAATGAAACATGCTCTAAATTGTGCAAACACTGACCTTGGTTCTCCCCTTTACTCTGTAACAAACCTGAAACTAAAATATGAAATAATGATTTTAAGAAATTAATGAAACTTTTGAAGCTTTCAAGTTATTATTTTTTTGTGTGTGTGTTCTTTTACCAGGAGTCACAACAGGAAGAAAAAGAGGTATAGATGCCATCAAATTAGATCACCAGGAAACCTCCCTCCATTTTACTTTATTTAATGTGACATGTAAAGAAAACCCTGCACAAATATCTGTCTTTAATTTCTCCAGCGTAAAAAAGAACTATATTGTGTCTGGCAGAATGAAACAGATGAAATAGCCTGACTGCATTTTAAAAAAAAAAAAGGGGGGGAGGGGGAAATCAGATGCGTACAAGGAGCCTTCAAAGCCACTCCAGCAGTAAGGATAAATAATTTAATAAACTCATCTTCATATTCTTTTTATCTCCCCAGTGTAATAAGTACATATTAAAAAAATAAAACTTTAAATTCATGAATACTTCCGAATAGAATCGCAGTCAGCAGATAATGAAAAAACACAGAAAACGATGCCTATGCGAACACTCTGCGTGGGTGTGCGTATTCTCCAACAGACACACATCTTTCCAGACGAAAGGTCACAATTGCTGAAATTTATGAACAAGCAATTCAAATTCAAATGCATTTTTAAATACAGAAACCTTGCCTTCCTACATTTCTCAACATAATACTTTGTTTTTTAATCTCGTAAGGTGACTACCTGCACATCACTTTGTGCATCCCACATGTACACTGGGAGCAGGTCTGCAGAAGGTGGCAGGACTTTCCCAGGAAATGACACTTCCGGAAAAATTGTTTGACCTTTGACCATTGTTATTTTGAACACTTTGAAGTGTTGGGAGTTACAATTTTCCATGATTTTACATCCATTAATAGTACTAAAATGTATAATAACAGTGTGCTTGTGTCTTTTAGATTTTTTCCTAATTAACGGCTACCCTTCCAATGAAGGCTAAGTAACCAAAATGGACTAGTCTATTAGACCTTAAAATCCCAAATACCATTCGGTTGTAAGCATCTCAAATTATCATTAAATCACGAGATATTTGGTTTGTCTTTTTTCTTGAATAAGGTCGTCTTCATCAATTACCATTCTATTATTAGCTCATGTCAAAGACGTCTGCACGCATACCACTGAAAACAATTACGCATTTATATGGCAAAGATGGGATGCGTGCACAAAGCTCGCATTCTAGTACTAAGATTATATTTATAGTAAAAAAAAAAATGAATGGTATCATGAGTTAGGGTTCTTTCATAAACTTTTTATGTAAGTAAATGAACTGATATTAAGCTATTTCCATGCACTACATAATCGTTTGAAATAGCCTGTTTAAGAGGTCAAATACTATTTCAAAACATACTACAGAATAGTTAAATAAATTACTCCTGCAAAACAAATCTATCGCCAAAAAACGAGATTAAAAACGGCCGAATTACACAAAAATATACTATATATACGTTTAACTCCTCTCAGTGGGTCATTTCAGTAAAAAATATCAGAGGATAGAAAGCACACTTCTAGAAGAGTTTGATTTTCCCTTCCACAATGAGGGGCGTCTGAGATCCCGACAGGCTCTGCTGCAGAGTGCAATGCGTTCCACGTGCTCAGCGCACAGAAAACGAGTGTGCTGCGGCCTCGGCAGCTCTGCGCGGGAGTGTTATTCCAGGCGCCCAGTTCATCCCTCCCCGAGATAAGGCGCATCAGTGAGTCCTGTGTTATGTTAATCACTGTCAGCTCCGCCGTGATGGGTGCTTACGGAAGCAGCTCAGCAAACACAGTCCTGGGGTCCTTGAAACCCAACGACTTCGCTTCCCTAGAACACTCTAGGACTAACGAGTTTCCCAGTCCTTATCGCACCTTCTCTTTTTCTTCCTCAAAGTGCAAATCGTTAGTGAAAAGGCCCCGGTTGCACCAATTAGTCTGCACAAAGTGTTTGGGTGTTTAGCTTCGCTTTAACCCAATTAAGCCGCACAGCCAGCCCCGACGATGCGCCACCTGCGCGCCTGGCTCCGGAGAGGCCGGCCGGCGCCCCTCGCGTCCCGCTTCTTTCCCGTTGGACGCGCTGGGCCGGCTGCGCCGGGTCCCCGAAACAGCCCCGGGGCTTCCGCGTCCTCGCCAGACCGGAGAGTGCGGATGTGGCCGGAGAGGGCAGGGGGCGGTCTGGGGCCGGCGGGCAACGCTCGGCCGAGCATCTCCGCAGACAGAGCGCGCCGGGCTCGGCCCGACCTCACCGGGGCCGCCGCGCGGGCTGCGGGCCGCGTGGGCAGAGCCGGAGAAGCCCCGGATGCCAACCAAGGAAGGTTGAAAATAACCCGCACGCCGAGATCAAGCCCGAGAGACAGCGACCAGAGGGAGGAAAGAAAGTGGGCCCGGGAGAGCAGGAAGCAGGCGGCGACCTGCGCTGGGGGAGCGCAGGAGGTGGCCTGTCCCCAGAGACGCCTGCACACTCCTTGCGCCGTCGCGGCCACCGATCCTCCGCCTCGGATTTGCCTCGTCTTCCTTCTCGTCCAACTGCCAAAAGGTAGCTGTGCGTTCAGCCGCAACGCCGGCGAAGGAGGGAGGGGCTTGCGGGGGTCCCCAGTCCCTGCCCCTAAGGGAATGGGAGGCTCTTGGGGCTAGTGTAGACGGATGCTTGCGCCCCACACTTAGTGCACTATTTTCAGCTAAATCAGAATCTATCACTCTTGGGTAATGAGAAGGGAAATAATCGGAGGCTTTGTGATGCACGTTACCTGTGCAAAAAAAGAAAGGAAAAATCAAAGCAAAAGTGGGCGCGCTTAAGAATATCGTGTTAAAAGTGGCTCTGAAACAAAGTACCTGCAAAGCTGTCACCCAGAGTTAAGAGGATTCGGATGGAAATATTCTCAATTTGAAAGAGATACCGTCTGAGTCAAAGGCAGGCAATTAAAACCCTCCCTAGCTTTTACAGCGACTGTATAACCAAACCCGTGTGGTACTGTATTTATTTCGTTTCCTGTACTTTGAGGACACAACTGGTATCACCAGGAAAAAAAAAAAAAAAGCTCGACCTAAACCCCTCCTGCTTTTAAGGTTCCAAAACTTAGAAATGTTGATTTCTTTCACTTTTTTCTGAAATGATGTTTAATTCCTGTAATGAACGTGGGTGACTACAACTTGGTTTTCTTTTAAAACAGTAACCATTTCCCTTAATCAAATCGCATGAAATGTCATACATTTAGAAATCTACTGTCAGGCCAACACTAAGCATACCTGAGACAGGAGACCTGCCTATGCGTGATTACACAGCTCTAAGCGGCTGGAGACCCCAAGCGTTCAGGGTTTCAGAACAGTTATCTGCCAGGAGGTCTGATGGCTCCCGAATCCCATGTATTAAAATACAGCTCGTTATGAAATCATATTAAAATAATCCCCCGATCACAGAAGGACTATACTTTTCAAATACTTCTACCAGTTCAGAGACTGCTCAATGTCCTCACTGTAATGTTGGACAGGCCTCCCCAAGTCCAAAGAGGCCAGGTGTGCTAAACATCTTTTTAAACCTAATTTACATAGGAGTGGACAGCATCTAACACACGGAGCAATACATTTCACATTCCTTTCAACAACTGCAAAACAGGGAAGAAATCTAGGTAAAAAAGAGCACATTACCTGCCTAACTTAAAAAAGAAAACAAATCATTCCAACACCCAGAAACATCCAGAATGGGAAAGATACACAGGTATTATTCCATCTAAAGCTATGTAGTCTATTCGAGAAAACTTTCACCCTGCATTTAAAAAGACCTCGAGGATTAAAGGACGTTAATGATCTCACTGTAAATGCAAGTTAGTGACTTTGTTTTCGAAAGCCCTCTCTAGTTCGCTAATTGGTGGCGAATCCCCGAATCCACCTGTATTTGCATTTCAGCAGAGACGAGGAGGGCTTTGCCAAGGCTTTTCAAAACGTCAATATGCTTCAAGTAATCCCAAAGCCGAGCGATTTCTCTTGATTTCCAAGTCTGTCTAGGTGGCCTCGGTGGTTTTCTGCCGGCAGCAGCCTCCTACCTTTCGTTTGCGTGCCTACCTCCGTGAGGGGGATTAATTAGCCGGGTTCGAGCTGAAGGCGGCCGTCGTGACGAGCCCAGTGGCGATTGGCCGCCCGCCTGCCTGGCCCTGCCTTTATAATTTCCACACGAGTGCATCTGGGCTCTTAGGCAAAGCCACAGCGGCTTCTGACACAAACACACCCAGCACACTCACCCCGACACACACCCTGCACAGCTTCCCCCCAGCCGACGGCCAGCCCCGCACACACCATGACTCCCGGGAAGCGTAAATAAAGACAGACGGAAAGGGGTGCTTGTTTCTGACCGCTGGAGGAGCTTGTCTGTCTCCGCGCAACTTTGGTTTTCGTTACTGAGAGCGTGATCTCTCCATCCGTTTCTCTCTCCCCGGGATTCTTTCAGAGAGGAAGAGAGGCAGACAGAGGGGCAGCGCGACCTTTCACTTTAAGACCCGCCGGGCTCCGCGACTCGAGGAAGGGCCGGCCGCCGGCGGAGAGCCCTGCGCCGCTCCGAGCGCTCGCGGCGGGCCCTTTCCCCCGAAGTTGGCTCCAGCGCCAGCAGCCGCATTGGATCCCACGGCCTACTGCGAGACTCCGGTGTACAACCCGGATCTCTGCCCCAACATGATCGCGGCGCAGGCCAAACTGGTCTACCATCTCAACAAATACTACAACGAGAAGTGCCAGGCCCGGAAAGCGGCCATCGCCAAAACCATCCGGGAAGTGTGCAAAGTGGTGTCGGATGTGCTGAAGGAGGTTGAGGTGCAGGAGCCCCGCTTCATCAGCTCTCTCAACGAGATGGACAACCGCTACGAGGGCCTCGAGGTCATCTCGCCCACCGAGTTCGAGGTGGTGCTCTACCTCAACCAGATGGGCGTCTTCAACTTCGTGGACGACGGCTCGCTGCCCGGCTGCGCGGTGCTCAAGCTGAGCGACGGGCGCAAGCGGAGCATGTCCCTCTGGGTGGAGTTCATCACCGCCTCCGGCTACCTCTCTGCGCGCAAGATCCGCTCCCGCTTCCAGACGCTGGTGGCCCAGGCGGTGGACAAATGCAGCTACCGGGACGTGGTGAAAATGGTGGCGGACACCAGCGAAGTGAAACTGCGGATCCGAGATCGGTACGTGGTGCAGATCACCCCGGCGTTCAAGTGCACCGGGATCTGGCCGCGCAGCGCGGCCCACTGGCCGCTGCCCCACATCCCCTGGCCGGGCCCCAACCGGGTGGCCGAGGTCAAGGCCGAGGGCTTCAACCTCTTGTCCAAGGAGTGCCACTCCCTGGCCGGCAAGCAGAGCTCGGCCGAGAGCGACGCCTGGGTGCTGCAGTTCGCGGAGGCCGAGAACAGACTGCAGATGGGGGGCTGCCGGAAGAAATGCCTGTCCATCCTCAAGACCCTGCGGGACCGGCACCTGGAGCTGCCGGGCCAGCCCCTGAACAATTACCACATGAAGACGCTGGTCTCCTACGAGTGCGAGAAGCACCCGCGCGAGTCGGACTGGGACGAGTCGTGCCTGGGGGACAGACTCAACGGCATTCTGCTGCAGCTCATCTCCTGCCTGCAGTGTCGCCGCTGTCCCCACTATTTCCTCCCCAACCTAGACCTGTTTCAGGGCAAACCGCACTCGGCGCTGGAGAATGCCGCCAAGCAGACGTGGCGCCTGGCGCGGGAGATTCTCACCAACCCGAAAAGTTTGGAAAAACTTTAGAGGCCGATTTAATCGCGACTCGACACGAAGACACTTCCCAGCGTGCCGATTACGTTGGAACTTCCTGTTCCATTCCTAGCTACTCTTCTAGTTGACGATGCAAACGATCTCTTCCTTGAAAAGGAGTAACACAAGCCTTCGGCATCATCTCAGCCACCCCTCCAAGGGGCGGAAAAGCAGCGGAGGAAGCGGATGGAGAAAAACCCAAACTCGCAAGTATTAGAAGATTTCTTTACCACCGACTTTCTAGCTCCGGGGAAAGGTCCACAGTAAGACCGGAACACAACCCGGCTGCCTTGCAAGACCGCAGTGAGCACTGCCTGACTCTCAGAGGATTACAACGGTCTCGGCGCCCTAGGTACAGCTGCCTGCGAGTCCACGCGGTTCGGACGCGCCAGCGGAAGGAATGCGTAATGTATATTTTGGTTTGTAACAAATATTGTCAGCTCACATTGTCTTTGAAAGTGTGGATGTTGGTGTTTTGTGATTTGGTGAGCAGAGGTTACGTTGCCATTTGGGAGACTGGCGGACATTTTCCACTAACAAAGATGCCATTTAAGGTAGATTTTCCTCCGGATACTTTTCCCTGCCTTTGCAAGTGTCTGAACATAAAAGAAAAGTTTACATTTTGTTCCAAATATACTGCTTGTTCTATTTCTAACATTCCATGAATATACTTGAAATGTTATTTAAATATATTCAAAGAAATTTGAATTCAGCTTCTATAATAACGCTTGAATAGCTGAATTATATATTTGAAATGCACTTGAAATACACTGGATAATTACTTTTGTGATTTTGATTTTTAATTTCTGTTGCTGGTTTTTATTTAATTAGAAGCTAATAAATGAAGTGAAGGAAAAGTTGTTGTGTCTCACTTTAAATTGTTTTTCTATCAAAAGAGCTTTGTTTTGAAAACGGAGTCCACTTGAATATTTTAAGCATTTTGAGAAATTACGCTAATGAAATCACTAAAAACTAAAACCTTAAAATCCTGGCGAGAAGCTCTTTTGTGTAGCTACAAAAGCTCCTGATCTACTCTCTGTTTCTAACCTAATAATTACTTATATTACCATAGTATAGGTAATAATAATAATTACATATAAGACTAATAATAATTACTTATAAGACTATTACTTCCTACACAGACACCCTTTCTTCTGGGTTAGGATTTCTGAAGCGTTGTTGATCATATAAGCAAGAACCTGTCACGATGGTAGGGATGACTGAGTTAAAAACCTGCCTGACTCCTAGAGAAAACAAACGTAAAAGTCAAAATGAAAGTTTTGCAATGTGTATATGAAAACTAATTGTGCTAATAAAATGAAAATCATTTCCGACCTATCTTATGGCAAACCTTATTTTATGCGGTAAGGGTCCCAGGAGCAAGAAAAATCAACCAGAAATCCCAAATTCCCTTTCCCTTCATAGGCAAGCTGATGATAAAAGCACAAAGACGAACTGTTTCAATTATTTAAAGTTAACATGCTGCATTCAGACGCTAATTTATTACATTCAGTTGTTTTGGAGACAGAAGTCCAAGAGGCCCAAGACTCTCCACAGGAGAACTGGAACAGTCAACAAGTGCTGAGAGGCTAGTCACCCACGGGCTGTGAGGCAGTTGATTCAGGAGGTGGTTTTAGAGCTTCAATTGCTGTTCTACCAATACTCTTTTTATAAATTCTATATATAAATCGAACAGAAAAATAAAGTTCTGGATCTATGTTAAAAAAGAGTAGTATTTGGTTATTCTAGAATGACTGCCTTTGAAAAACACCTAAAAGGAGAATTTTTGCAAAGTGATACTAGAATACCTAGCGTGACACACTCTTGAATTCTTAATCCCAGAAAAAGTTAGGAACAGCAAGTAATGCAAAAGTTAAAACATGAACAAAACTGATCGCGGAAGAAAGTGCTGCAGTACATCCAGAGTTGCTCTAACACTCAGGTGCTGCGGGCGAAGATTCAATAAATAAATGTTTAGGCCTTTAAAATGGCTCCAATCCATCCTTTCTGACACTGCACCCAACAAAGAGCAGAGCCTTTACCCATGTGATTGCTAGTACATGCTATGCACACGCCATTTAAATCAAAGTTTTTCAGAGAACCAGTTTCTCTTCCTCTTAAATCCACATGTAAAGCCCATTCTTATTTCAGGAGATGAAAAATGGATTTAATAATGGAGATACATTTATATCTAAATGCCCCCCCACCCCAGTTTCCTTATAAGCTTTCAATGAGTAATAATTCAATCGCAATCTATACTTGTGGGCATTAAAATTGCTCTTAATAAGAAATTTCATAAGACCCTTCCTAGACCGTCTTGTCACAGAGCTGAGATGCTGTACCCTGGGGACTGGGGAGCAATTGGCTTAACAACCAAATCTGCCCAAACGCACACAAAGACATCCAGAGAAAGGCTGTTAACTGTGCAAGCTCCGGTGATACAGGATTTAAATCCATTAATGCATTCTTCAATTCCAGAAAAGAAGGCGGTGTTATTTCATTCCACCCATTTTCCAAGAGAAGAACGGGAATATGCTCCCCTCCCCCACTGTCATTTCAAACCCGGGAAAGCTGAAAACCACTTCCCGCCACAAAGCCGCCAGCACCGTACAGGTCTCACTTGAACTCACCTTCGCGTCGATCTTCTTGAAGGCAGGATCATCCTCATCTACCTCGAAGTAGATTTCTGTCGTGGTGATGGAGAGCGTTCCCTTGGCCACCACCAGGGGAGCGATGAGCTGGGCAGGGGTGCTGAGAACCACGGGGCCTGCAAGACAAGGGCAGGCGTCAGGCTGGGCCCGGCGGGCCTCTCCCGCTCCCCCCAGACCCTGGGTACCACTGGTTTTTATTTTGAAAGGTACATTCATAACAATAATGATGATGATGCCTATTTATGCGGCAAGCTCTCTTCGTGTGAGACAAGGTCTACTTGACTTTTACACATTATCTTATAACCACTGGAGATAAGTCTATAAACACCCGAGAGGTCAGGATACCTAGCAAGTGACCCTTAGCAAGCGAGTTTTCAACCTCCTCCTAGAAGCCCTACGCGGTCAGTGAGGCGCTGCCACTAACAACTCAGAACTGGAGAACCGAGTCGTTAAGGCCCGGATTTTCCACTGAGCACCGCGGGCTTTCCTAGGGGCCCTAGGCGGCCAGCCTGCCCCCCAAAGACCCGCTAGCCGGTAAAGCCATTCCACTCCGCAGCAGCGCTCCCCAAGGGCAGCAGGGAGGATACAAGGGGAAAAGGACCTAAACGTACACAGTGCATTGTGCTAACGGGTTTGCATCTTACGGAGAGATTAATTTAATATCGGCCATTTAAGGCGCGCGAGTCGACATTACATTTCTTACGCAGAAAAGAACGAAATCTTCAGCAGCGATTTTCTCATGGAGCATAAATCGTTAATGAGTTCTTCAATTCCAGTGGTAAAACAGAATACGTCAAAAGTGATGAGAAAGTAAGACACGAACAAAAGGATTCTCAGAAAAGCGTCCGCAAAGTGCTGCTTCTTAACTTTGGAAACTAGAGACGCTAAGCCTGTAGAAACGGTTTGTGGAAAGTGTGCCTACTAGGAATTGTGGTGCTTGCTTCTAAGTCCCTCCATGAGGGTGAGGAACCGCACGTCTTAGAATGTTAATTCAGATCAGGACGACTTAACCGCCGGGTGAAGGTCCCTGAAGAAAGCAGAGGCAGCTCTCGCGGTCTTGGGCGTGGAAAGGAGCGCCCACGTATCCAGTATCCATCTTTCCGTAGCCAGGGCGCATTGGATTCCCTGCCACCCCCCGCCCCGATCCATATAGTAAAATGAATCACAGTAACTGTTGGAGGGGTAGTGAAGTCAGGTCCCCCGCGGGCGCCGTCCCCAGCTAGGAGCAGACTGGCCAGCGCAGGGGGGCGTTTGCGGGGTGCCATGCACCCCAAGTCTGCGGCCGCCCTGCTCAAGGCTGGGCCGAGATGGGATCCGCCGGCTTCCGCCGCGCTCAGAGGAGGTGGACGGGAAGCGAGCTGTGTCAGTGTCAGCTCTCCAGGCCGCACAGCGCGTACTAAAGCCTTGTCCCGGACCCCAGGGCTCTCTGTCCCCCGAGGGGCGCCCGGCCAGGCCCCGCGGCCCGGAGCCGCGCGGATCGAGTCCACCGCAGCCCCGCAAGGCTTCCCTTTCCAAAGGGCAGGCGGTCGATCTGAAGCGCCACTTTAAAGGCTCATCAATCTTAATCTAGGTTGCTCAAGTAATTATGCCCGAATCTCTTGTACGATTACAAGTGGATTTGGGTTTCTATTCCCCAGGCCCTCCTTTGTGTTTATTGGAGGGTCTGTGCGCGCGCTCGCGGCGCCTCCTCCGAGTCCCCCACCGCCCTGGCCGGTTCCAGCCGCTCCCTTAACCCTTCCGCCGCCGGGCCGCTTCTCGGGATGCCAGTTTTTTAAAATTCCCCTTCTGGAGAAATCCCAGTGGTGGCCTCATGAATGGGGACAGGTGAGAAAGAGGGTGACGTGATTCGCATGGGGAACAACGTGTCCTTTCAGACATCCCTGGGTCATGCTAAGACCTTACTGGAAACATCTTAACTGGAAACGCACACACAGGGCGAGTTAGCTCTGTTTGAATAAGGGCTTTGGACATCCCGAGACCGAGAATGGTCAAAATCATTAAAAATGGCGGTGACTTCCTTCTCTAAAAAGTAATTCAACATATCCAAACAATTACATTGGGAAAATTGCAAAAAAAAAAAAAAAAAAAAAAATCATGACACATATTATCAAAACCATACATGCCGATTTACTGAAATATATTGCGAATTTTAAGTACCTAGCTCTGTGAACTTTTAACGGGAAACACATTTTCTCGACTTAGTTCTCCGCGTTTCTGCCAGGGCACTGCCCTCTCTGTGGATTCAACTACAGTTTCGCTCCAATGAGTCCAGATTTTCTTGGAGTTTCTAAAAGGGCCTCGAATCGGTCCTTCTCTCAGAAAGCCACATCAGCAAATATTCGGCCTTAGTGGAGTGACATTTTTACTCTGGTGCTTTGGAAATCTCCAGTTCCATAGCATGTCTAAGCAGCACTGAGTCTTTCTGCTGTGGCCTTCAGGGAGCAAACTAGCCGCAGAGAGAATACGAGTTAATCCACCACAGCAATAGGCAGAGGGGATTATGCTTTAAACCCTTGTGAGGGAGGCTCTGGATTTTAGGGATCCGATATTAAAATGTTTACATAAAGCACAATCACAAATTGGCAGATCCCCCATACGGTACGTGGTCATCTGGAAACCTTGGGCGCCTTTCCAAATAAAGATAGTTAAAAAAGAGCAGCATCTCTGATGCTAGGGAGACAGCGAGCTTGCTGACTGTCGTGGAATCTAAGCTCCTGAGCTTCACTGGGTGCAGTGCGTTGGGGACTGAGTGTGACTATCTTCATTCCAGTCACTCCTGTGGTAACAACAGGGAGAAGGCTAATGACTACCTCAGCACACACAGAAGAACTGAGACGGCTATGAAGGGGCCCGGAACAAACGGATGGGACAAAACCTTCTCCCACTGCATCGATTCTCACTGCAATCCCACCATCTGAAGTGGTCATTGAAAGAAAAATGAATGTTGCCTACCTTTTAGAATTGGCAAAATGATGTTTAAAAAATATTGATCCATTACTATTTTTGAAAAAAGGGTAGGGATATTATTGTCCATAAATTTAAATGCTAATTTAAAATCTGAACTAGAACAAAGATCACCCAAGCATCATAAAAGCAACCTTAAAAGAATGAACTTCTGGTTAGCGCTATAGGCTCTTTATTGAGATGACAAACCCCATTGTGGACCTAGAGTAGAAAGCACATATGTTTTCTATTTGAGAAGGCAACTATTCATCAAATATATTTTAAAAGCAGAATGTTAAAAAAATACTTGTGGGTTTGGATGGTTCTGCTGAAAATCAAAATTCCAAGTACTGAAATCTGAATAACAATACACTGACATTTTAATAGAACCCTACAGTTTACAAAGTTCTCTCACATTTTTACCTAACTCAGAGTCCAGTGTTCACACATATTGGGCTATGGATATGTCCATGCCCTTGGCCAAAAAACACCAGGAACACAGGAGAAGTGGAACAAGGTGGACCAGCTGCTCCTTGCAGCAAGGGAGAAGGAAGACCACGGGAACCCCAAGGTGTCTCAGGAAGAGCTGTTCAACAGGACTTGGAGTTCTGGGCTCTGCTGGGGGATTGTGTGGAGGGTTCAAGGAAGCAGGGCTTTGCTCTGGATGGGGCTCTGCTGGAAGCAGGGATAACTCTGACTGGACATCTTAATCTTACCTAAGGGAGGGAAGACTAGATATAGGGGAAGAGAAGGAGCAGTCACTCATATCAGCCAGGAGAGGGGGGTGTTTGATGTTTTTGTGGCATGCCAAGTGACCTTGCTTTTGTCTGCGCTTAGATCTGATTATGAAGCTTTGCTGTTTTTGTCCCGAATCATCACGTGACCTTATCTAATGTGGGTGTTCTGAGAATGTGAACTCCAGCTAGAGAGCCCTATGGTCTACTTGTGGGCGCCAGGCCAGCTGCTAGCAATACTGAGGCCTAGTTGTAAGTGTCCGGCCAGCTCCCAAAAGTTAGAGGCTGCTTTTCTTTTTCTCAGATGGCAAAACTTAATAATTTTGGGGAGATTAATAGTATTCCAGTGATTAAAAAGCAATTATGGCAATTCAATTGTGAAGCAATGCTGTTATGAATTGTGTCCCCCCCAAAATATGTACTGTATATCCTATCCTCTATGCCTGCGGTTCCCGGGTAGTACAGTGGTTAACAGCTATGGCTACTAATCAAAAGGTCAGCAGTTCAAATCTACCAGCCGCTGCAGCTTGGAAACCCCATGGGGCGATCCCATTAGGAAATGGGTTGTCTTTGTTATGTTAATGAGGCATGATTAGCATAGGGTGTGTCTTGAGTCAGTCTCTTTTGAGATCTACAAGAGATTAAGCAAGCAAGCTAGTAGAAGAGAGATGGGGTGAGAGAGATGCCAAGAAATGCGGAGATCTCCAAGGAACCAGGAAGGAGAAGCTGAAGAGATAAGGAGCTTCATCCAGAGGTGACAGACAGAGAAAGCCTTCCCCTCCAGCTGGTGGTCTGAATTCAGACTTCTAGCCTCCTAAACTGTGAGAAAATGAATTTCTGTTTGTTAAAGCCACCCATTTGTGGTATTTCTGCAATAGCAGCACTAGATGACTAAGACAAATGCTAAGTTTCCTTTTAAGTCCCAATATAATTATTATATGAAAGCTTAGCAAAGTATATTTATGGGAACAAAGAGCTGAAGTTTAATTATAACTGGAATTGTTACAATTATTTGATGACTTTCAATGGGCAAAAACTATATTTAGTGTACACGGAATTATAATGTATTTTAGAATGAATGGAATATTTCCTAAACTTAGTTTGATATTAATAAAAGTTTTATTAAGTATATGGATTTTCTATGGCCTCAATTACTTTGACATCATATGTTCAATTTGCTTTTGCAACATATGGTAGACTTATTTTGGAATAATGAACATTGACTAATCTTGGTAAAATTATTAAACTTAAAATCCTGACATTATTTAGAAGAAATACAATTACTCAGAAACATTTTATGTTTAGTGAAAAAGGATATCACTAAAACAATTTAAGACAAAAATATAATAAAGGAGTAAATTTTTACAATTATTCATATAATGCGAGAACTTATTTAAGATGTCTATCACTGCTTTGGACTTCTGTTATTTTTAAGTAGGGTACTATCAACTTAAAGATAACCCTTCCCCATAGAGTTAAAAGAATAAAATGCTTTAATCTCAAAACATCTTAAATTAACGGAGAATATGAGAGAGTTAGAGCTTTGTTTGGGAATTAAAGGAAAGCTGTAGGCATTAAGAAAATGGAGGTGTTTGCATGCAAACCTGGGAGTGGGGGAGGTAAGTTAGGGGAAAATTAACACAGAAGATCCTAGATGTAAACTATCCAGGAGAGGTCCCTGGGCTTCAGGCGCTTGAAATGCCTCAAGGAAACAGGAATCATCATAACACAATCTAGATGGTGGCTGTGTTCTTCAGATACAGAGAGTACTGACTGTTGTCCAAATATATTGTCAGAATCACTACCCTTTGAAATCTCATCACTTTCCTCACACGAAAAGTCACAGAACGTTTTTGCTTGAATCAGGAAAAGATGACTTGAACAGCTAATGACCTATAACCTGTTGCCGTCGAGTCGATTCCTACTCGTGGCAACCCCGGCTCCTGAACAACCAAGAGAATACGTAATTCCAGGGTCCAGCAGTATTCCCTCCCTAACACACACACACGTACACACGTGCATGCATGAACATACACACGTACATACATGTGCACACACACACACACACACACACCCCAAACTATCCATCATAAACACTCTGTAAGCCCACATTTTACACAGAGGCCTACTGTGCCCATGAGATGGTCCTCTTACGCTGCTGCGCAGCCTCTTCAGCATCACCTGTCCTTAGGTTGAGATGGACAACAGCCGGTCACCCCCAGAGTGCACGGGTTTCCTTAGATCATTATTGTACAACAAAGACTTTCCACCCTTCCTCAAACGAAACAGGTGCCGAAGAATGCACATCAGTCTTTCCAGATCTGAGTACACCTACCGCTGGAAAGACTCCATTTACCACAGTCAGCAACAAACACAGAAAGAATGGAACCGCCTTTAAATAAGCAACTGAACCACCTTTATATGAGCAACTGAACACTGCAATTTCACATAAAGTCTGCTGTATCAGGACAAAATATCTCCTGTTGCACTAATGTTATCTAAAATCTCACTGCGTTTCATGTGTTTGTAATACATAATTTTAAAAGTGCTGAGAGACAATCTAAGAAGCCCTGACTTTCATCTACCATTTATGTTTTTCCCTTTATTTGTAGAACAGATAATTCTACATGTTAGAAAAGAAACAAAAACCAGGACATTTTCCTCAAAAGCAAAGAGTGATTTTATAGAAGAAAAAGCTTATAAAGCCGATATATTCTAAGCAAAGTATCACTGAGTTCTTTTCCAGCAAAAACAGTGATAGTTTTAATAGTCAGTGTGATAATTTTCTCTGCCTTTTGATTCGATAGGTGAGCCAGTAAAGCTTTGTGTGTCTAGTTACATCCCAGTTCAACAC